GGAACGCCTTCATCGGCTCATCGGCGACACAGAGCCCATGGGGCCGACTGCGTCATCAGATAGAGAGGCACCGTCCATATGTGAAAAGGTTGGCACCTGCTTGCGCACCAAGGCGGGCCAGGAGTTGTTCAGGTTGCGAAACAAGCTCCTGAGGTCTATGAAGGAGGAGTTCCCAGTTAGGGAGCCTGTCAAGCGTGGCCTTTTGAAGGAGGGGCACATTGTCATCCGCCTGATGCACGTGCCCGACGTGGAGGACGAGGACGAGCAGATTGCGCTGTCTGATCTCTGGGGCTTGAGGCCGCGGTGGTTCCACATCTGCGACATGTCGCTGAACCCCTACGAGCCCACGCTCTCGGAGCTCGTTGAGCCGAACGAGGAGGAGTTCGTCGCCGCGGCCCCGCTTGCAGACGAGGTGGCGCTGAAGGCCACTGCATAGGGGAACGACTTACAATTTGACGGGGCGGCATTGGCGGGCCCTACCCCACCTCCACCTTAAACAAACAACGCACCTTAACATCGATGTAGATTGCACTTGCACAGCGTAACACTAAATCAGCTGGAAAGAACACCTTGGCGCACGCATGCGCATCAACATAAAACCAAACACATTTGGGCCCCCCCTCTCCCCCTCAGCGGAAAACTTGAAGCTGCCCCCGTCTGGTTTGAGAGTCGTTCGGCCTATCGCTATGCCCAGGCGACAGGGACATGGTCTGAACACTACGACTGCATTGCGTCGTGGGATCGGAAGGTGAGGCTCGAGCTGGACTTCTTCAAGATCTGCATGCATGAACGACGTCTCGGAATGCTGCTACCTGCTCTCGTTCTGGTGACGAGGTTGCCACATTCCAGCGCTTACAGGCTCTGGCCACTTGCGGCACGTGGCGGAGGGCGCGGAGGGCGCGGAGGGCGAGGCGCGCGCGGCGGTCGGGCAGTCCCTGCTCGCCGCGGTGCTGGGCCCGGTTGCCGAGGTGGTCGAGGTCGGGGTCGCCATGTTGCAGATGACGGCCCAGCTGCAGATGGTGGCCCAGCTGCAGGTGGTGGCCCAGCTGCAGTCGATGGCCCAGCTGCAGATTGGCCAGAGGACGTCCCTGTTCCTCCAGCGGACGGCTACGGCGTCGCGCTGGACCTTGAGCACGACGAGGGCTGCGCAGAGTCCGTCGCGTCCGATCCCGAGGTCGAGGGTCCCGTGGCGGATCCCATCGAGGAGCTCTTGGACCGACGGGGGGGTACATCTTAGCTTCGGCACCGTGAAAATCGACGTGTGGGGTGGGGTGCGGGAGGGCAGGTGATTTTGAAAAGGCGTGCCGCCCCTCCTTTACTGCCTCCCTCGCGCTCTGCGCCCTCAGCTCTTTTCTCCCCTTCCGCTCCTGGCGCTGCCTCTCGCCACCACTTCGACTCTGCCTCGCCCCCCTCGCCTGGGCGCCCCTTTGGCCCTGGCCCTTCTGCCCCTCCACCCCCCTTCCTAACCAAGCCAACTCGCTAACCAATGTGTCGTTTATTGGCCTGCCCTCCGCTCCCTGTCGTTTCTCCCGTTCCCCGCGCGCCGCCGCAAGGACGAGGTGGTGGACGCGGCCTACGGCGACGGCGTCGGTGGGCCAGTGGACCCAGGCGCCGACGAGTTCGACGGGGTCCACGACCCCGCGGGAGGGGAGTCGGACGACGGCGGCATTGTCGATCTGTTCGCCGACGAGCCTGAGGCACCGCCCCCACCACCTGGGCCAGAGCCGCCTCCCGCGCCGCACCCAGCGCCAGAGGCAGCGATCGCTCCGCCCCCTCCACCTCCGCCGCCAGGCGGCCCAGGTGGGGTGATCGCACGTGATGGCGAGGTGATTACTTTGTTTTTCCCAGGCTATCCCAAGGCCAGGCTTTCTTATTATGCAAAGAGCCGTACGTTCGAGGCAACATGCGGCAGTGGCGAATGTAACCATGGTGCCAGATGCAGGTTGGCTCGGGTAGGGAAGACAGCTGAGCTCAACCTTTTGCGCCCCCAAAGGGGGCGCCCCGCAGCCTTCATGCATGCTTGGGTCGTTCACGGCCAGAGGAGCGACAACCACTTGAAGTTTGAGCCGACTCTGGAGCAGCGCAAGGCTGCCCGAGAGATCTTGAAAGCCTCCGACATCGGGAGGTTGCTTCTAGAAAACGAGCGTCCAAAAGCGAACGCAGGCGATGAGTCCGAGCACGATTCTCCGCCCTAGGAGCGTACTGCAAAACAAGGGAAACACTGAGGTGATGATGATGATGAGGAGGAGGAGGAGGAGGAGAGATGGAGTGGGTTGGGAGAGAGAGAGAGAGAGAGAGAGAGAGAGAGAGAGAGAGGGAGAGAGAGGGAGGGGGGCAGAGAGGAAAGGTGAGAGGAATGAGAAGAGGGGTCGTGGCATCCAAGCTTCTCCTGAAGACCTCTCGGTCAGCCTCTGGATCAGCATTGAAGCATCTGGTGGGCTCTCATGGGGCTCCCTGGTGGCCAGGCTTGGTTTTATGGTTGTAATGGTTTTCTTGGTGTTGGGCATTGCAGCGTTCCAACGAACATTCACTTGCCCTATTACCGCTTGTTCTCGTCACTCCAGGGTGCACTTTGAAAAGTCAAATAGCACCCCGCGGACTTGGCATTGATTCCCATTGTGTGGGGGGGCTGTCGAACTTTGTGTGTTTGGGACAGTGGGTCAAGGGGCTCTCGGAACTCAGTCAGTGGGAGCCCTCGGGCCAGCCTTCAAGTACATTGTTGGGCTCTCCCTTGGCCTCGGTGGAGACTGGACGCCTTTGCTGCAAGGCGTGCGTCCAAGGTCTGGGGCCTCGGCCAGCGACTCAAGCACGGCAGATGGAGGACCGTCGCGGCATCCTGACAAATGCAAAGCTCGATGCCCACACATCCCCCCGACATTTCGTGCACAGGGGGCTCCGCGCCAAAATGTAGGGGGGGACATTTTGACGGAGAAGGGGGGCGGGCGCCGACATTTTGAAAACATTTCAAAATGTTTTCAAAATGTTTTCAAAATGTCACCCCCCCGTGCAAAATGTCTGCAAAATGTCCCCCCCCCCCGTGCAAAATGTCCCCCCCCCGTGCAAAATGTCCCCCCTCACGTGTCAAAATGTCCCCCGCTCGAGGGAGGTGCTGTCAAAATGTCCCCCCCCACGCTCTGGCTGGCAACACCTGGCCCAAACGAGGGGGCGCCGACGGTCGCGGGGGGTGGTTCGGCGCACCCCTCACGCGGATCGCACCCTTACTCGGGGAAGTTCGATTTGGCTGCTTTGAGGCGGCGCCCCCTCAACCCCCGAGGCCCGTCGCTGGCTCCGAGGCTGGCCACGAGACTGCCAGGCCATTGGTTCCGTAGCTGTCTGTGGCTCAAGGTTTCTTGCATCGTGCCACCGTCGACGGCGCGTCGGCTTCGCTCCTCTTGATAGGAACCCAAAGTCTCTGATCCGATGTCGCCCGCCTTGTCGCGTGATGCGCTGAAGGCCAAACTCCGCGCCAGGACCAAGACGGCCAAGGGGCTTCAGAGGAGTCGGAACCGCATGTTTGATCGCGTCACCCGCAAGACTGGCACGATCTTAGACCTCAAGGCGGAGAACCGCAACCTCAAGACCCAGCTCAAAGATACTCTCAAGCTCATGCGCTCCCTCATTCAGGCGAACGCCAAGCTCAAGGCAGCAGCCGACAAGCAGGCAGCCACGGTGACTGAGTTGAAGAAGGGGAAGGCTGCCGCGGAGTCGAAAGTGAAGAAGCTGCTCACGCCGAAGGCGGAGGGCAATGGCACCAACCCCGAGGGGCCCGCCACCGTGAAGGGGCACGGCAAGGGGGCGCAGCCGCAGGACACGCAGCGCGCCAAGACAGCTCCGGTGGCGGCTAGGGACCCGCACGAGCTCCGCCGCATGATTGCCCACATCAGTTCGCCTACCCTTGCCTAAGTACAGCATCGTCCGCGAGCAGCGCTCGCTGATCGAGGCGGATTCGGATGGCACTGTGCACTCCGTCGGGATCAATGTGGGCAAGCGCCGTGGCGAGTTCCTGAGGTACCCGTAGCTTAAGAGTTCGAGCTCTCGGCTTTAGGACATAGGAGTTGCTGGGGACAGAGATGAGCGAGGAAGAGGAGCCTGAGGAGGGGATCCCTAGCTAGCCTTGAAGTTTTCGATGTCTCCATGCCCGCCGATGGATGGAGACCCTATGTCCGCGATGGCCGTCGTCATAGGCCAGCCCGTTCCGTAGTGCCCCCAGTCGGGGGGCGGAGTGTTCCAGAGGGCAAGCTTCTGCGACAAAACAGAGCCGTCTGTCCCCAAAGATCCGCTCCCGAAACTTCTTGGAGGAGAATCCAGCAGAGCCCGCTCCCTGCGGCTGTCCCCGAGCCCTGAGGCACCAGTGGCCGTGGAGCCAAAATCGCTACGGCAGGAGGAGGAGGAGGACAAGATCGGGGGGAAGGGGAATGGAGGGAGGGGGAGGGGGAATACACCCTTCACTTGCACCGAAGCTCCAAACCTCCAAGGGTTCCCCGAGGCCCCGAGGCTCCGTCTCAAAAGACATTGCGCTGTATGGCCAAACAAGTCAACAAACGGTCCTAACCATACATGAAGAGAGGTTAACCATGCATACAATATGCACAACACGTTATGCTCATCCACTGGGTTGTCTGGGGCCATCTCTGGGGATGCGAGCGCAATGGGGGGGAGGTCCACCCGATTTTGCTACACCCCCCGCCCCGCGTAGCCAACTTGAAATGTGGCCTGAGCGACCATGCCTCTTTGAAACTTGTTCAAGGAAGGGGGGGGTGCGTGTGGCACAAGTAGCAGATCCCAGGTTGGGGTGGCTTCTAGACCCCCCCCCCTCCGCGACATTTCGCTAATGCTACAGGGTTACCATGGGGTTCGTTTTCAGTTTCATTCTCAATCTTGGTTTCGGTCACGCCACGCCGATAGCCGTTTGTGGCGCAGGCTTCAAGATCCAGAGCGGACCTCTTCTCAGACTTTTTCGCACACTGGATCCCCCTCGGCTTCCACCGCTTCGCGACGCCATGCCCCCTGCCAGGGGAGCCGCGCTGGCCCCGATGAAGGGGGCCGCCAGGCGCCGTCCCGAGCCTGTGGCGCCCGACGAGGCGCACGTGCCTGGCGGCCCCGCGAAACGCCAGCGGTACACCGTCTGCTTGGCTTGCAGGGCGAGTGGCAAGGACACCCGAGGGGTGAACCACCCCCCCACTGACGTGCGTGTGTGTGTATATATGTATGCATAAACAGCCCCATCCTCTGGACAAAAACTGAAGCCCCCTCGTCGCCTGCGTGCTGGAGACGCCTCGAAATTTTGGCATGGCAAACCCTTCTGAGGTGTTGTTTGAACTTTCAGAGCACACCGACGTGAATGCGCGGCGGGCCAGGGCCGCTGGGCGATGGGAGGGCGGGGATGGAAGGGGTAGGGGACGAGGGAACCACATTGATAGTGATGATGATGCAATGGCGTAAGCATGTGTGATGGATTGTGGTCCCCTCTGCGCTCTCCAGGACGCTGACCTGGAGATGGTGGCGCAGCAGCAGGAGAAGCACAGCGGCGTCTACTTCTGCGTGAGCTGCCGTGACTGGTTCTCCGAGCATCTTCCGAACATGTCGCTTGAGGACGTGGCGCGGGACATGCAGAATGACGAGGGCAAGGCGAAGGAGATCACGGAGGCGATCGCATGTCAAGGCGATGAGGCCGATGATGACGACGGCGACGGCTCCGAGCCGACCTTGTCCGCGTACGTGCACGATGAGATCGGGACGTGGATCCAAGACGAGTTCGACCTCCTGACTTACACCGACGTGGTGAGCGCCACTGGCAAGACCCCCCAACAGAACAAGCTGAAGCCCGTGAAGCGGAAGGCACCTAACGGCAAGGAGGAGACCCGCTACCCTTTCGCTACGCGTAAGTATCCTCGGCTCTTGGTGTTCACCAAGCAAGCCTCAGCCGTCGACGCCACCGTCGGGAAGTGCAGCCAGAAGTTCGACAGCCAGGGCCAGATGATATTGGAAGCCATGCGGAAAGCAGATGCAGCCCAAAGTGGAGTCGGCAGTTGGTGCAGGTTACAGCACGTTGGCGACGCCCCTGAGCCACCTGGCTTCGGGGCGCCTCTGCAACGGAGCGGGTCGAACGTCATCGCCCGCCCTGGCGGTCGGCCGCTTGGACAGGGCAACGTCTTGACTCAGTCCGCCTTTGGCAAGCCGAGCGATGAGACTGCGATCGTGCCGTTCGGCGGGGCTGCTTCCATCCAGGAGACCAGCGATTCGCAGAACTCTGGCAATGTCACGTGCGGCACAGGCGCGGAGGATTTCGTCAGCGTCGTTGAGACGGAGGGTGTTATTGTAGCGGTGGACGAGGAGGCTACTTTGGAGTCGATGTTTTGGCCAACGCCTCAAAGGACGAAGAAGATCGAGCACATCCAGGTCGTTGTATCTGCACCGAGCACCGTTGCTCACTGGGTGGAGCGCAGTCCGCTGGAGGAGGTCCAGCTTGGGGACGGCAAGCAGAGGGAGAAGAATCAGCTGGATCTTCTCAAGCGCAAGGTGGCCGCTGGCGAAGTGAGTACGATCGATAACCACACGAGGCTCATCGACCTTGCCAAGGACACGTGGACCACCCACTTGGTCAAGACAGACAGGGCGCGCAGGCTCACGATCGCGAAGGAGATCCTCAAAGCTGGGTATACGCTCACGCCTGCCTGCCAGCTGAACTTCTTGCACGCGGAGCTGAGCGCGTTCTGGCCTGAGCTGGTCGACTCCGTTGGGGCGGGCACGAAGCGGTGCGTCGACAAGGTCGTTGCCGCTTGTCGGTTGTGGCGTGGGGCAAAAGAGCAGTTCCAATATGACAAGCCTATCTTGGGGGCCGTTGCGATGTGTGATTCGCAACGCAACGAATATTTCCTGAATCATGTGATGGACAAGTTCATTGGCCTGTTCAATGCGGACCAGACGAAAGCGCCCGTCGTGATCGAGCTTTGCAGGGCAGTCATCACCGACTGGGAGCTTCCCGAGGAGGATGCGGTCATCGAGAAGCACTGTTGCGACACGCTCGTCGCCATCAAGAAAGTCGCGGGGGTCGTCCTGTACCTTGATGACATGGGCGCTGCCTCTGCTGACCGCGACCTGGACGTCTACGACGACATCCTCGAGATGGACTCCCAGAAGGCCGTGACCAAGAACCCCACTCTGTTCACGAACGCGGCGGGTGCGCTGGCAAAGTCCTTGTACTGGGGCGGGAAGTTCGAGATCGGCACGAAGAGCGCGCAGACGCTGAAGAAGCACGTCCCGCAGATGATGGACCGCATCAAAGAGCTGAACTCCACGTGCCGTTCCGATATCACCGAGCCCGACCTCGCGAAGCTGTTCAAGTTCGTCGAGATGGTCCCTCAGATCGAAGTGGATGTGGATGGCACTGGGGTTGCGAGGAAATACGAAGGTCACGTGGTCAGCAAGGTCACTGATGTTGCCAAGCGTCTCATGGAGAAGGCGGCCGACCCGACGGAAAATAGGGATTGCCTGAGCACGCTTTTCACGGCCTTCGCGGAGATCCTCAACGCGTGTTCGGCGGCGTGCTGCCAATCTGAGTCGATCAGGATCATCACCGCGGAGTTCACGAGCGCCCGCTCTTCTTTCACTGCTGGCGTGAAGTTCAATGCCCTCGAGAACGCCATGGATGCGTTCATTGGGGCTCCGTGCGAAGGCCACGGGGTACAACTTGCTTCATGTGTTGAGGAGCTGCGAGGCAATGAGCTGCCAGAGCCGATCGCTTTCAAGCTGGACACCTGCGCCCAGACGCTCATGGACTCGGGCTTGCTGCTGGACAAGGAGGTAATCTACGCCAAGTGGATGGTCATCCTGAAGGGCGTGGGCATGGTCAAGAAGACCTCGGCGTTAGCTGGCAAGTGGAGTCCGATCATCTCTTTGATTGGTTCTTGGAAGGCGGCTTCCGATTCGGTCAGGGCTCTGCTTGCCTTGGGCTCGGCGCCTGAGTTCCGCCAGCAGCACAAGCTCTTCGACGAGCAGCTGAAGAAAGTCCAGGCGGCCAACCACCACTTCACGATGATGTGCAGGAAGGCGAGCGTGGTTGCCCTCATCAGCGAGGACGTCAAGCAGACGCTCAACACGTACGGCGCGGACTTCCAGACCAACCTGGATTTGCACGCGGCGGTGCAGGTCGACAAGCTCGGCAAGCTGTCCTCGGAGTCGATTGCGGCTGTGCAGAGGCTCGCGTGCGACAGCGACCTTCAGGCCATCGTGGCCGCGTGCGCCGACGCGCAGCATGCCCAGGACGTGCTGACTGCCCACTCGGAGTACCTCAGCACCTTCGACTTGGGTTCGGTGGCGACCGCCATCCGTCGGATGGCTAAGGAGAGGAACCAGCAATGATGATGAGGAGGGTGATGACGAGGAGGAGGTATGGGGGTAGGGGGGAGAGGTGAGCGAGGAGGACAGGGTGGAGGGAGGGCAGGAGGTGGAGCAGGGGGACAGGAGGAAGGACAGGAGAGGAGGGGCAGACAGAAGGACAGGAGGAAGGGAGGACAAGGAGGACGGGGGGGCCACAGGAAAAACGTGTCCTATGACACCTCCCATCTCCTGGGGTTGTCCACGGGCCACCCCCGTGGACACCCCCAAGAGGGATGGGTGGGAGCGGGCGATCTCAGGTGTTTTGTTTCTTGAGGGGGGTCGGTCCTCCTCGCTCGGTCGCCCCCCTGGCTCGCTCGCTGGCCCCCGCGGGCCGCCCCCCCCATCGCTGGAACCCCCTGGTGTCCCCCCAGGAGCACTCCACTTACGAGGAGGCGTCCGCTGCGGTGGGCAAAAAAGTAGAGGCGTTGAAGGACGTCAATTTCCCTGAGGTCCTGTCAGGTTTTTTGGCAAGTTTCGTGACTGCTGCGATTCTGCATGCAGTCTTGAATCACGTGGAGAAGTTTTCTCGCCGTGAGGCGATGTTGAAAGTACAGGGGGTCATCCGTGAGTTCCAGATGACCCCCAGCGTGTTGCCTCCATGTGTGCTCACGGCGTACAAAGCCGCCTTGAAGCTTTGATGAAGGTAGGGCTTCTCGCGGCGAGGGTGCCGCTACAATATCGTGCACCGCCGAGGTGGGCGTCGAACGGCGAGCACTCCCAGAAGACACGTCTACCAGGGTGAGGTAGACAACTGGCGGAAAACAGGGTCTCTTGGTTTCCACTGCCCTCCCCCTCCTCCCCATTCGTCCTCACTTCCCCTTCTCCTCCTCCACCTGCTGCTGGTCCTCTTCCTCCTCCTCCTCCTCCTCCTCCGTCTTCCTTCTCCTCCTCCCGTGCTTGACTCCCTGTCGACCTCGAGGGCCTTGTGATCTGGATGCCTCCTTTGCGTTCTCGTGCAGGCGCTAGTGTTGTGACAGTGCGCGCTTACAGTACATCAACATGCAAGGAAATCCATGTAACATTTCACAGACATTTAAAACATATTTCAACACCTGCAGTTCGCGAGGGTTCAAAAACATCTTGCCGACATTTTTCATCCTTCCCCTCCACCCTCAGAGGGAAGCGGGGTGTGAACACTACGGCTCTTGGTGTTCCCTTGGGGGGGTCTTGGGGCCTTGCGTGGGCGTACGGGGGCCCAGGGGTCAGAGTGTCAGGGTTTTTCCTTGTTCTTTGCCCCCTCTTGGGCCTGGCTTGGGGTCCTCTGGGGCCGTCTTGGGCGCCTCTTGGGCCATTTTGGAGCTCCCTGGGCCGTCTGGGGACGCGCTTGGAGGCCTGTTGGGCCGTCCTGGGGCGGTCTTGTGGGTCTCTTCGGTCGTCTTGGAGCATCGGCTAGCCGAGAAGGCGAGAAGGCAAAACTCCTTCAAAAAGCATAGGACAATTCAGGATTTTGGCCTCTGGGGGTATGCTTCGGAGGACTGTTGGAGGCTCTTGGAGGCTTCTTGGGCCTTCTTGGGGGCGTCTAGGGGGCCTCTTGGACGCTCCTTGGAGCCTCTTCTGGCCACTTCGGCGCGTCTTTGGGCGGAGGGCTCGATTTGTGACGCTCGGGGGCCAGGATCTTCGTGAGAGGTGTCGAAAAATGGCCCTCCAGGGGGCGCATTTATCCACATGCGCTGTTTGGCCCTTCTGGCACGCGCTGGTTGATGCCCGCCATAGAAAAGAGACTAGGGCTGACCCGCGGCCTTCCGGCCGCGGAGCCTGCCCGCCATGGCGTGGACGTGGAAATGGAGCGTCTCTGTGGCCTCGCGGGGGGGGAGGTTGGAGGGAACGGTGTGGATGCAGGAGGTGGCCGCGGGACCCCGGAGAATGGCCTCCGAGGTTACGGAGTCTCTTTCGTGGGCGTCGTTGATCCACGAACGATCCGTGCGAGACGTCTGTGCCCCATCCGGAGCCTGGCGGGAAACCTTCCGAGTTGAAACTGGCATTCCGTGGACGTGCCGAGTCGACGAACTTCCTGGGCGAGGGTTGATTGCTCCGCCCTGGGGCGTCGGAAAATAAACCTCCAAATCTGGATTCATTTTCCGTGGGTGTGGCCGCGTCCTGGGTCATGCATTGGGAGGGTAGAGATGGAACACCGCAGAAACGAAACCCAGAACTCCAGAGTAAGCGCCAACGCGCAGGTTGACGAAAGACGTCTCTCCAGAACCATTTTGCCCACCTGGGACCTCGGAGAATAAACCTCGAGCGTGGTGTTTATTTTCCGTCGACGTGGCGGGCCGAGGAATGGTCTTGGGGGGCTTTTTGGGGGCCGACCGCGGGACCCCGGAGAATGGCCTCCGAGGTTACGGAGTCTCTTTCGTGGGCGTCGTTGATCCACGAACGATCCGTGCGAGACGTCCGTGCCCCATCCAGAGCATGGCGGGAAACCTTCAGAGTTGGTACTGGCACTCCGTGGACGTGGCGAGTCGACGAACTTCCTGGGCCAGGGTTGATTGCTCCGCCCCAGGGCGTCGGAAAATAAACCTCGAAATCGGGGTTTATTTTCCGTGGGTGTGGCCGCGCCCCGGGGCTTCTGTTCCGCCTTGTGAGAACCTCTTGGGGCCCTGTTGGGTCGTCTGGCGGCCTCCTGGGAACCTCTTGGGCCCTCTTGGGCCGTCTTGCGTGCCCCGTGGCCTGTCTTGGGGCCGTCTGGGACCGTCTTGGCTTGGGTCATCTTTGGCCCCTCTTGGGGCTGTCATGGCAGCCTCTTGGGCTGTCATGGGCGCCTCAGGAGCCGTCCTGAGACCGCCTTGGGCCGTCTTGGGCCCCTCCCGAGGGCCTCCAGGGCCCTCTTGTCGCGCTCTTGTGAGACAGTATTGTCTTCTTTGGCGCTTTGAAATCGAAAAGCACGGGAATTGCCAAAATGAGGGATTGGAAGAGTTTTCCTCGTTCGGGCTCTCTCGGGTCTCTTCTTGGAGCCCACCTGGAGCAATTTGGGCGCCTCTTGGGCCGTCTGGAGGCTATCTTGGGTGTCTTCGAACGCTCTTGGACCATCTTCTTGGAAACCCTCTTGGACCGTCTTGGGGCGTCTTGGGGTGCTCTGGGGGAGTTCCTTTAAGGTCTCGGACCGCTCTTGGGCCTTCCTGGAACCGCGCCGAGGCCAGCTGGGGCTTGCGGGGGCCCGCAGGGCCCGCAGGGGGCGCCGGAGGAATGTGTCCGACCCCCGCCCTTCTCGCACGCGCGGGGCCCTGCAATGTAGTAGAGAAGACTCGTGTGTACCCGAGTTTGCTGCCACTGGCGGCGGGGGTTGCCCAACCCTGGGTGGGTCGTGCCAGGGGGCACGAAGAGGGCTCCCAGAGGGCTACAAGAGGGCCCCATGACGCCGCGGGCGCGGGCCCACCATTTTGCCACGAGAGGCCTTCTCTGCGGCTTAATGCACCCGGCCCTGTCTTGGAGAGGCCCGAAGGACTCAAGAGGGCCACAAGAGCGCCCCCAAGGGGCCCTAAGTGGCCGCCATGGGGGCCCGAGGAGCCCTCCTGGCAGCCTCCTGAGGCGTCTTGGAACGATCGTGTGGGCCTGTGTGGCCGTCTTGAACGCTTCGAAGACGAACGGCAGGGAAACTCCCGAAATGTACCTTTTCCCGCGGGATTGGGGCGATTCGTCTTTGATCGGGCTTCCCTGGGGCTTTCTCTGGAGCCCACTTGGAGCATTTTGGGGGCCTCTTGGGCCGTCGGGCGGCTGTCGTGGGCGTCTTCGAGCGCTCAAGGCCCGTCTCGGAGCCTCTCTTGGACCGTCTTCGGGCTCTCTTGGGGGCCTCCGGGAAAGGGCTGGCCGGGGCCCCTGGGGCCCCTCGGGCCCCCTCTTGGGGCCGCCATGGGCGCCTGAGGAGCCGTCCTGGCGCCGTATTGAACCGTCTTGGGGCCCTCCTGGCAGCCTTCTGAGGCGTCTTGGGGCGATCTTGTGGGCCTGTGGCCGTCTTGGACGCTTCCAAGACGAACGGGAACTCCCGAAATGCACGTTTCCCCAAAGGATTGGGACGAGTTGTCCTTGTTCGGGCTCACCGGTGACTCTCTGGAGCCCGCGGCTATCTTGGGCGTCTTCGAGCGCTCAGGGCCCGTCTCGGAGGCCCTCTTGGACCGTCTTCGGCCGTCTTCGGGCTCTCTTGGGGGCCTCCAGGGGCGGCTCGGAGCGCTCTTCAGCCATCTTGGAAGCGCGCTGAGGCCCCGGGGCCGCGCCGGTGGCCGCTGGAGGGGGCTGGTCCACGGCCACTGCGCGCCCATTTGGCAAGCGGTGAAGGCTGCGTTATAATAGAGACTAGGGCTGACCCGCGGCCTTTCGGCCGCGGAGTCAGCCCGCCATGGTGTGGACTCCGCACTGGAGCCGCTCAGGCGCCTGGTGCACGGGAGGATCACCGATATGACGCTGGAGTAACTGTCCATAGGGTTTACTTGGGCTGCGCGTTAGGCGCCTTCTCGGGGTGTCCGGACACTCGTGGGGCCTTCATCGGGGCATGCTCGGGACATCTCTGTGGCTCTTATCGGCTTTTGAGCAATTTTGGGTGCCCTCCTCGTCCCCCCCTGGATCCTTCATCCCGTCGATCTCTGCTATCGGGACATAGCGGTAGGTTCTGTCGGCTGTGGGGCCATTTTGGGCGTCCTCCCCCTCGCCCCTCGATCCTTCATACCGTCGATCTTCGATCGTCAGTCGTCGACGCTCCCCACGATACAAGCATCCAGTGCCTCTTGGGGGCCGGTTGGAAGCATCTTTTTTCGTCCTCCTGTGGGTCTCTCGCGGCCCTCTTGGGCCGTCTGGAGTGCCTCTTTGGCTGTCTTGAGCGATGTGGGTCCGTCTTGGGCGCCTCTCGGGCTATCTTGCGCCGTTATTGGGCGCTCTTGGGGCTGTCTTGGGTGCCTGTTGAGCCGTCTCGGGCGCCTCTGGAGCCGTCCCGGGGCCGCCTCGGGCCGTTGTTGGGCCCTCCTGGGAACGTCTTGGGGCGATCTCGGGGGCCTGCACAGCCGACTTGGAACGCCTCTTGGGGCTCTCTCGGGGGGCCGTTTCGGGAGCCTCCTGGCCTGCCTTGAAGGCCTCCAGGGCCTTCCTGGGACTCGCCTGGGGTCCTCTTGGGGCGTCCGGGCGCTCTCTGAAGCGTCTTCGAGCCGTCTTCGGGCATCTTGGGACCCCCCCGAGCCGTCTCGGAGCGCCCGGAGGACTCGCACGGCACCGCGGAGGGCCCGGGCGGCCTTTCAAGACAGAGGACCTTCTCACACGCAAAGATCGCTGCAGTGCAGAAGAGACTGCGGAGGACCCGTGGATGAAATCCAGGGCAAGCCTGTCGATCAGACTGCACCTGTGTTGAAATTACTTGCCCGCGGGCTCATACCTCTCCTCTGAATAGAGAGTGGAGGAGAGTAGGAGCACAAGGAGCATACTGGTAAGCAGAAGCGCCAGCAGCGGAAACAGGCAGCGGCAGCACGAGCACAGGCAGACCGGCTCAAGCCGAGGCAGCGCGAAGCATGAGCGGGCTCGCAGGAGGGTGAGCCGGAGCATGAGCCAGAACAACGGCAGGAGCCAAAGAAACAGCCCCCCGCCCCAGGCTCAACCAGAGGGGCCTGGCAGGAGTCACGCCAATGACCTGTCAAAGCCCCACAGAGAAGCCCTGGCGGACAACGCCTCAGTAAACCGGTCTCCAGGGGCGAGCAGATGGCACATGGGCCACAATAGCAGCGGCGTGTGCTCTGACCACTGCCCCCTCTTTCAAGCGAGCGAAGGAATTCCAGGGTCTCCCATGGACGGCTGATTTGTAGGAAAATCGTGCACCGCCCGCTGCAGGCTTCCGGAGGATGGCGGAAGTGATCCTGGCCGATGGTGCCCGACACTTGTCGCTACGTTTGGGGACCTCTGGGGTCCTGTGGGCCTCGTGATGGATGCCACGGAGGCCACGCCTGCTTGGAAAAGGTGTAGCCACCTTGTGTCAAGATTACCCCTAGCAGCATCCGAAGCTTGACAGAGTAAGGGGCCAAAGCCAGGCAATGATGCGACCTGTGGCCTCGTTAGGTTTGCGAGCACGGAATGCAGGTGCAACCAAACCAAAAGGGGGAAGCGTGCCTTGGCGTTGGAGACGAATGCAAGGGCCTTCTGCGGGGCATCTTTGGCCGTCGTGGTGCTCTCAATCTACCGTATAAAGCATCTTGCAAGCATATTGGGGCCCTGTTGGGGGCCTGTTGGGGCGCTTCCGGATGCACCTTGCACCCTCTTGGGGGGGCCCTCGAAGACACCATACTGGGTGCATCTTGGGGCCCTCTTGAGCCGACTTCGGGGCTGGCCCCTCTTGGAAACATTAAGGCCCCCCTCAAAAGACTCCCAAGAACTACCCAACAAATAATCCTGAAAGACGGAACCACTCAAAAACCTTACGCGGTGGAATGTTCCTGGCATACCTGAATACCCCTTTGGGCCCACTACGGGGATTCTTGGGCCGTCTTGGCCCACCACGGGGGCGTCGTGGGGACCTCTTGGAACTCTGCGGGCTCTTGGGGCCCTCTTGGCTGCACCCTCAGGCATCTTCTTGGGGCCCTCCTGGAACTTCCATGGCCCTCGTGGAGGCTCATTCGTGAGCTCGCTGTGCCGACTTCCGGAACACTGAAAACCTCTGGGGCCCTTTCCCAGGGGGGGGGGGCTGTGCACTGATCTGCTCTTGCGCAGGCGCAGCGCTGGGCACTGTAGGGTGGATGACGTGGGGCTCTAACTTCGCCCCCCGCATCTCCCTGAGAAGCGATAGAGCCCGCTGCCACTGAGCGCATTTCTCGCACGCGCTGATCCCAGCGCTGAAGCCGATCACGTCGGGTTCCATACCCGCCTCAACCATGTCGCGGAGAAGCGTCAGAGCCCGCTGCCACTGGGCGCCTTTCTCGCACGCGCTGATTCCGGCATTGTAGCAGATTGGGGCTGGTCCGTATGCTTACGCTTACTCACGTGCGCTGGCATGCAGTGGTGAAGATCGCTTGCCGGCTCGCCTCCTAGCGTACTTTCCTACGCGCGTGGCGGCTACGTTCCTGGTAGCTTTCATCAGAGGGAAAAGAACTATGCACATGAACCGATTCTGGCCAGGCCCATCCTGAGCCCAGGATCGGTGCATACGCCCTCCTACCTTGGCCAGGAAGGCATATGCACCGATCCTGGGTCAAAAATGGGCCTTGCCAGGATCGGTGCATGTGCATAGTTCTCTTCGCCCGATTTCATCCTGACGTTCCTGCCTGCATACTTTCCGTCGTGCCTGATATGCTAGTGCGGCAAGTTTCTTCATCGCCTGCTCGTCCGCCCGGTGCCGCTCCCTGGCGCTTGCTGCTGTTTGGCCCCGCTTGATGTGAGCTGCCGCTGTGCGTTTGCTATAGCTGCCCGTTTGCTGTTGCGGGCTGCCTCTTGCTGCGGCTTGCAGTTGCCGCTTGATGTGCAGCGCTGGTGTTGCCGACGCCTACTTTCGCTGTTTGCTGCTAGCTCTGCTTGCCTGCTTACCTGCCTGATTGCCGTCCTGCTCGCGTGGCCACCAGCATAGTGTCCCGAGAGGTTTCCTGCCCGATTGCATGGCTGCCCCCTTGCACATTTGCCTCATGTTCGACTCTCCTGCGTGTTGGCTCAATTGCGTGCTCATCCGCTCATTGCCGCTTGCTGTTGCTGAGTGCCGCTTGTAGCTACTGTCTGCTGTGTGTTGTGTATTGCCTCTGTTGTTGCCTGCTGCGAACTTGCGCGGATTGCTGCTTGCTGCGGCTTGGTGGTGCCGCTTGCTGTTGCTTGGTGCTGAGTGTTGCCGTTTGCCTGCTGCTGCTTGCTGTGTGCTGATGCCTGGTGCTATGGATGTGAACGCGTGCTGCTGCTGCTGCTGCTGCTGCTGCTGCTGCTGCTGCTGCTGTGCGGTTCTTCTGCCCCTCTGACGCTGCTTTCTGCTGCAGGCTGCTGTTGCCAACTAGCGTTGGTCGCTGATGATGCCTATTGCTGGCTGTCGATGGAATATGCTGCTGCTGATTTCTGCTGCTTGGTGCTACTGCTAGTTGTTCATTGCGGCCGCTGCTGGCCTTGCTGCTAGATGTGGGGGCCATAATGGGCCATGTGAGGTGGGCCCTGTCGGGGCCGTCCTGTGCCGTCTTCCTCTTGGGCCGTCGGTGCGACGTCTCGGGGACCTCTCGGGGTGTCTGATTGCGCCGTGTTGGGCCTTCCGTGACTGACCTTGCTGGGGGGTTCTCTTGGGTCCGTCTTGGATGCCAGCCAGGGCAAACTTGGGCTATCTTGAGGGCGCCTTGGGCTGCCCGGAGGGCCCCAAGACTGCCCCAAGAGAACCACACGGATCCGAACAGGCTGCTCCGAAATCGTCGTGGAGCTTTCGGGCGCCGAGAAGCAAGCCTGAGAAGTCAAAGAAGTTGATATGCCTGAGGCGTGGGATAGTCTGTGGCATCCCAATAGGGTGGTGCTCAACGGCTTCTGTGGTTGTCCTGGGGGCCACGTGGAGCCGCTTGTAGACAATTTCGGCAATCTCGGGCAATCTCGAACCCGACCTGAGGCCGTCTTGGCAGCATCTGGGGGCCCTCGTGGAGCTCAACTCATGGGGCTCGGCGGGGGCCTCTCGCACCCGCCAGACGGCACGAACAACAGTTGGTCCACGGGCTCTTTCCGCACGAACCCTGCTACGCAGACGAGATGACGTCGGGCTCTAGCCTCGCCTCCCGCATCTCGCTGAGCAGCGCCAGAGACTGCTGCCACTGGACGCCCTTCTCGCACGCACTGATCCCTGCGCTGTAGCCGATGACGTTCGACTCCAATTTCGATTCCACCATGTCTCTGAGGAGCGACAACGCCCGCTGCCACTGCTCGCATTTTTCGCACGCAATGATCCCAGCGTTGTAGCTTACTAGGGCGAACCCGTGGACTTCGTCCACGACCAGCAGGTCCCCCTGGCGCGCCTCCACGTTGGGCCCCCGCCCAGGAAAACGTCACCCCGAAGTCTTCGGTGAATTTTTCCGGCCGCCTTTCCGAAGTTGGAAGGCGGGCGCTTCCTCCTCTTCGTCCGCCTTCCGCTCCACGTCCGCCTAGACAGCCTTCGGAGTGTCACAGACGGCTATGGTGGGTCTGCGGTGTGCCTTTCGCCGCTTGTCTGCTCCCCCTGGTTTGAACAATTTTGAAAGCACCCGGGGTCTAGAACAAAAATCACCTGGTGGGCTCTGAGGACTTTTTTCCGGCTGCCTTTTCGAAGCCGATTGGCGGGCGCTGCCTTTTAGCCTCTCTGGTTTTTGTTCGGCCTCCTGGGGGCCTCTTGGGGTCCTCTTGGGCCGTCTTGCGTCCTCCTGGGGTCCTCTTGGGGCCCTCTTAGGCCGTCTAGGGTGCATCTAGGGACCGCCTGAGGCCGACTTGAACTCCTGTGGGCCTGTGGGGCGGTCTTGGGACCGTCTGGAGGCCCTCCTGGGCCATCTTTGGCCGCTCTTGGGGCTGTCTTGACTGCTTCTTGGGGCCGCCTGGGGCCGCCTCGTGGGGGCCTCCTGAGGCGTCTTGGGGCGATCTTGGGGGCCTGCATCGTCGTCCTGGACGCTCTGAAAACGAAAAGCGCGGAAATTGCGAAAATGTATGTTTCCCCTGGGGATTGGGACTATTTTGAAGGGGCCCCAGGACATACAAATAAATGCACACAAGCTAAATATTCACCATATTTTCATATTTTTGGGGGGTTTACGTCTTCCCCCCCACTTCCCATATTTTCCCATATTTTCTTGGGGTCGACGATTAATTGTGTCTGTGTTTTTTTTCCCCTCCTGAATCTTCTGGGAGCCCACCTGGGGCGGTCGGGGGGCCTCTTCGGCCGTCTGGAGGCTACCTTGAGCGTCTGCGAGCGCTCTTGGAGGAAAGGGCACCTGCGGAGGTCTGCGCGGGCACGGCGACGAGAGCGGGCGACTGAGGCATCGGCCCGAGCTGGCTCATGGCGCACTTCGCCTTTGGAGCGCCCCTGTGTGCAGGGCTGGTCACGCCACCGCTCGCTCTTGGGAGCTGTGCCGGGGAGAGCCCTCTGCGCTGCGGCTCGCTCTCGGGAGCCCTGGTGAGAGGAGCTCTGTGCTTCGCCGATCGCTCTTTTCATGGGCGTCTCTAGGCCTGCTTGGTGGTCCTTGTGGGGGTCTTTTTCGGGCCATTCTGAAGCTTTTTCGGGCTGCTCTGGGAGCGTTTTGGGACGTCTTGGGGCCATGTTGGGCCGTCACGGGGCGTCCGAGAGGCCTTGGACCGTCTTGAAGCTCTCTTGAGGCTGCCTGAGGCCGTCTTGGGAGCCTCTTGGGGCCCCCTCGGAGCTCTCTTGGGGCCGCCTTGCGGTTCTGTGAGGCCGTCAGGGGCCGTCTTGGGGCGTCTTTGCGGCCTCTTGGATCGTCGTGGAGCCCCCCCCCCAAAAGGCTTCGGGCCCTCGTGGGCCGTCTCGGGACCCACTGAGGCCGTCTTGGAGCGCTCTTGGACGGTCTGGGAACCCCTCTGGAGCGCCTCTGGGACCGGCCTGAGCGATTCGGCCCCGTGGTGGCGCCGTAAAGGTGCGATGTTGTCCACTTGAGGCCCTGGGCTTCTCGCACGCGCTTCCACCGGCCATGTAGGAGAGATTGGGGCAGGACGATAATGAACCACCTTTCACGACAGCTTACTCGCATGCAACGCTGAGGATCGCTTGCCTGCCTGTTTGCTCGCATGCTGCCCTGCTCGTGAGGCTGCCAGCCTGGTGCCCTGGCGTACGTTTGTCAGGGTCGGAAGCATTCTGTGTTGCTTGCTTCATTGCGTGGCCGTCCGCTCGCTGCCGCTTTCTGTCGCTAGCTGATGCTCGATGCTACTCATCTGCATGTTGCTATTCCTTGCGGGTACGGGTGGGTGTTTGCCATCGCGAGTTGCTGCTTCATGCGGCTTAATGCTGTTGCGTGCTGCTGCTTGGTGCTGCGTACCTGCTACTGCGTCCTGGTGCTTGTTGCTGCTGGTGCGTGCCGGTGATCATGCTTGTCGCTGCTGCTCGTTGCTGTCGCCTGTGGCTACAGGGTGCTTCTGGTTGCCAACTTTGCTGGCCGCGTGCCGCTGCAAGGAGCTGCTGCCTGTTGCATGCTCCTGCTTGCTGTCGCTTGCTGTTGCGGTGCACTGCCACTGCTCGCTTCGTGCTGCTGCCGTGCGCTGTTTTCGATTGAGGCTGCAGGGTGCTGCTTCTCCCTACTTCTGAGCGCCCAGCAGGGAGGAGGTGCGAGGAGCCAAGAGGGATCAGCGAGGAGCCACGATGTGATCGAGGAGTGCTGGGCGGGGAGCAGGGAGCGGGCAGCGAAGGGCGAGGAGCGAGGAGGGAGGCTCGAAAACTGGCGGAGGGCTTCCATCCACCGACGTGGCCGCAGGGAACTCCACCGCGTCAGGCAGTTCCGCCAGAATCAGAAACAGCACACGTAGGTTGGCCATGAGAAATTAAACCAACGGCCCCTATCAACCCTGGCGCCATGCTACGCGCTTGGGGCGCGCCTACGTAAACCGCGCGCACGCTATACACGGGGGGCCAGGCAGCCCCGCCGGACCCGGATAGCCCCCTCGCTCGGTCCACAGAAAGCCCCCAGACCGCATCGGGGCATGGGTTCGTCCTATCTGAGGAGACGGAAAGTCCATGCCCCGACGTGGTCGGCCAACAGAGGAACGCCCCTATGGGACAACCGTTGCTGCTTACACACGTTTGCGAGTGGGTGCGCTGCACTGACCCTTCGAGGCAACGCTACGCAGGTTTTCAAAAGGGAGGCGAAAGCAGCGTCCGCGGCGCCTCGGGTGGCGCGCGAGCACTGATGCTCTACGCGCCTTGTCGCGAGGGGGCTGGTTCCTTCGGTCCCCAGGAAGGGATGCAGACCTCTGGGGAGCCACGTTGCGACAAACATGGTGCGTCGGATGCCCGAGAGAGGACCTGTGGAGTCGCGGAGAGGGCTCCTGGGTCCTCTCCAGGTACTCGGGGGACTCGGAGGAGCCCTAGATGCACAGGCACTCCTGGCATGCAGGGGCTCCTGCATTTGTAATTAGAAGCGACGGCGTCCAGCTCGAGCTTCGATTCACGCGACTCACCAAGCAACGTCAGCGCTTGCTGCCACTCCCCGCCCTTCTCGCACGCGCTGATTCCTGAGTTGCAGCAGATCGTATCCATCTGCAACTTCGCTGCTCGGAGCTCCCGCAGCAGCGACATGGCATGCTGCCACTGCCCGCCCTTTTCGCACGCGCTGATCCCGGAGCTGTAGCTGATGATGTCTTGCGGAACCTTCGCCGCCCCCAGCTCGCCCAGGAGCGACAGCGCCCGCTGCCACTCCCCCCCCCTCTCGCACGCGCTAATGCCCGCGTTGTAGCTGATCGTGTTTGACTCCAAGCTCACCTCCTCCAGCTCGCAAAGCAGCATCAGCGCCTGCCGCCACCGCCCTGCCTTCCCGCACGCGTTGATCGTGGCGCTGTAGGGTATAATGTCGGGCTCCAGCGTGGCTCCCAGCAGCTGCCTGAGCAAAGACACCGCCTGCTGCCACTCCCCGACCCTCGCACACGCGCCGATGCCGGCGCTGCAGCCAACGACAGTCGGCTTCAGCCTCGCCTCCGTCAGCTCGCCGAGCAACGACAGCGCCTGCTCCCACTGCTTGCCTTTTCCGCACGCGCTGATGGTAGCATTGTAGATGATGTTGTCGGCTTGACCCCGCGACTTCAGAGCACGCCGCAGCAGCTCCAGCGCCGCGTTCCACTGCTTTGCGTCTCCGTACCTCCTGATATCAGCGGTCAGGGAGGTGGCGCTCGACGGAGACCTCTGGTGTCCCACCCCAATCTGGAGCCGCATGACATGCGGGCTCTTCCAGTGCAGCTGCAGCCTGAAGAGCTACAAAAGCTGATGCTGGCGATGACGACAACAACAACGGTGATGAAGCTCCCTCGTCTTCCCTGGCCAACTGGAAGCTGCGCTCAAGAACAGACTTCCACTGCTCGCCCCCTTGGTAAACCGATATGTGCAATCCATGGTCCGCTTGACCCGAGCGGGAGAAAAGGGAGGAAAAAGAGGAAATGGAACAGGATGACGAAGCGGTGTGCGTGAGAGGAATACCAAAGACGTACCTTACCGCATCTGAAACAAAGGACAACATCAACGGGCTTATCCAGGACGCATTTTGAACAGGCGCGCTGTCCCAAGTCCGCGTAAGACGTCGCTCCGCTGGACATCTCAGGAACACACGAAAGCGGTGGCAATTGCGCTCGACCATGGAGGGCGAGATCAACGTTGGATCCCCATGAGACGTCATGCCGTGTGATTTTGTTTGGGCCTCCCAGAAGCTCCCGACCGTGCCGAAATGTGTGCGGCTGGCGGCGCCAGGGAGGGCGGCGACGTCTGCCTGGATTCCTATACGGCGTCACTCCGCTGTGCCCTCCATGGGCTCACAGCATTGGCGACGGTTGCGCAACTGGCTGCATCCAGAGAGGGCGAGGTCGCGCAAGCTAGAAGCGGTAGCGAGGCGGCGGCAACGGGCGCACGAGGCGGCAGCGAGGCGGCAGCGTGCCAGGAGGCGGCAAAGGGCGGCAACGTGGCGAGTCCTCGCCGGACCCACCCAACGCACGAGGCGACAACAATGCGGCAAAACCGGTAACGGGCGGCGACGTGGCGAAACCTTGCTGGACCCACCCATCGCACGAGGCGGCAACGAGGCGGCAAAGGGCGGAAACGTGGCGAAACATCGCCTTACCCACACAGCGCACGAGGCGGCAGCGAGGCGGCAGCGGGCGGCAACGCGGCGAAACCTCGCCAGGCCCGTCCTATTCCTTAGCAGCCCAAGTAAGAATCCCACAATGCAAGCACTATGTGGGGAAGGACCATAAACTTTCGGAGCTCCGCGCGGATTCCTTGGGTCGGCGCTGGCCCCCGGCAGCACCGATTCAAGACATCCGCGCGGAGCTCAGAGTATCTATGATCATGATCCCCTCGTCGCGCTGCCCCTTCACTTGTCTCACTCTCTCTTTCCCAGGTCAGCGGTATTGGTATGTAGGCGCCACGCGCACGCTGAAGAAGGGCCTCAATAGCAGAACTGGGGCCGCACTCAAGGCCCTGACGGGAGCTCGCCCTGGCTTCCATCGCCCAGAAGGCAGTGTTGTCATCTTCGAGGGACGGGGCCCGGCCATCTGCAACGACATGGAGCGCAAGAGGACCGTCACCGCCTGGGGAGATAGGCCGTCAGCGCAAGGCGCCGCCCCCCTCACCCGCTACAAGGGGGCGCGTTGTGCCAATCCAACAGGGCGTGAGGAGGCTCGCCCAGTCCGCCAGCGGCAGCCCATACCTACTGGTGGATGGCGATGGTGGCCAAAATTATCAGAGCGAGGGGGCCGAACGGTCATCCACTGTCCCTGGGCGCGTGGCTGAAGTGAGATTCTGCGGCGCGGATTGTTGTTGTTGTTGTTGTTGTTGTTGTTGTTGTTGTTGTTGTTGTTGTTGTTGTTGTTGTTTATTGTTGTTGTTGTTGCTGATGTTGTTGTTGTTGGTGGTATTGTTGTTGCTGCTGCTTGTTGTTGTTCGCTGTAGTTTGCTGTCGTCGTCGCCCCCGCGACCCATCCCGCGACCCACCCGCGACCCACCGCGCGACCCACCCGCGACCCACCCCGCGACCCACCCTGCGACCCACCCGAGACCCACCCCGCGACCCGCCCGCGACACACCCGCGACCCACCCGCGACCCAACCGCGACCCACCTCGCGACCCACCCGCGACCCACCCTGCGACCCACCCGAGACCCACCCCGCGACCCGCCCGCGACACACCCGCGACCCACCCGCGACCCACCCGCGACCCACCCGCGACCCACCCCGCTACCCACCCTGCGACCCACCCGAGACCCACCCCGCGACCCGCCGCGACCCACCCCCACCCGCGACCCACCCGCGACCCACCCCGCGACCCACCCTGCGACCCACCCGAGACCCACCCCGCGACCCTCCCGCGACACACCCGCGACCCACCCGCGACCCACCCGCGACCCACCTGCGACCCAGCCCGCGACCCACCCACATTGCTTTAACGGACAAATCGGCGCCTGCGGCGAACTCGTTGAATACTTGGTTACAATTACACTTGAGAAGCCCAATCAGTGGATGATTTGACAATTGACACTATGGATCTTGAGATCGATTGTGAGATCGATAATGAGATCGAGCGTGGAATCGATAGTGAGGACGATTGTAAGGTCGATCGTGATAGAGAGTGAAATCGATTCAATGAGATCGATAGTGAGATCGATCGCGAGATCGCTCATGCGATCTCTAGTGAGGTCGCGTGTGAGATTGATGATGAGATCGATGGTGAGATCGATCGAGAAGTCGGTAATGAGATCGATGGTGAGACCGATCGATAAGAAAACCGACCAAGAACGGGCATCGGCCCGGAACCCAGAACCGGAACCCGGGAACCTGGAGCGGGAGCCTGGGAATCCGGGAACCCAGCGTGCGACCAAAATCGGCGGGGCACTTTCGCCACATCCTTCAACATCAGCGAGAACCCCTGCAGTGCAAGCACTGATTGGGGAATCAGGCGCCTGCGGCGGGCTTCGTTTCGAGCCTCGCAAACTGCCGACGCCCCCGCCACTGCGGGGTGCTACGAACGGACGGAGCCCCAAGCAAGCAGAACCACACGCACCGCGACGATGACGCCGACGAGGCGCGCTTGCGATGCGAAGTGGAGCACGAGTTTGGGAACAACACCCCGTGTGATGTCAGGTGCGCACCACTTCGCTCGGCGGTACTGCTGCAGGAGAGAGAGAGAGAGAGAGGATGAGGTAGGTCGAGGAGCGTGCCGCAGCATGCCTCATCGTCCTCCTCCTCACCCTCGCTTTCCCCATCAGTCCGCTGCCCCTTTCTCCTCCTCCCTTCCCCTCGCCCTTCGTCCCCTCCCTCGTCCTCGTCATCGTCCCCAGCCCCCTTCTCTCCCCCCTGTATAACACCCGCCGAGCAATACGACACCAGCGCCTTTGCAATCGATAGGCGCTCACGCCCAGGATCGCAAGCAGAACGAACAATGGAACGGTGGTGCAGAAAAGCATACGGAACCATCACACGATCAGTGTTTGATGGCCTGAATCGGGCGTGCTGCATCATTTCATCGGACGGACGACGGCGAACAAAACAAACCCAAACCATGACGGGCACCCGTGTGTAATGAATAGTGAGGGTGACCGCAACCGCTCCCAAGGTCATGCCATATGCTTTAGGTTCCAGGTTCCAAAACCGCCTGCGAGAGCAGCGATGCGCGAACACCGGAGTCCTGGCTCTGACCCGTCCGAGCCACAGCGGAGTCATTCCGCTCGCCCGCCCACGCAGCTTCGCCTCGCCCGCTCGCACGACACGAACCCGAAACCGCAATCGATTTCCCGGTAGGGGGCTCTCCGTCCCACTTCGATCTCACCCCCCCAACCTCTTAAGTAGACCTGGCAGAAATCCCTGTGCGAACAGCCAGACGCAATTGCGGAGAAGGAGCGCGGATCCGAAAAAGGCAAAGAAGGCGGGAGATGGAGATGTGACGACAACGACGCAGGGACAGGCAGAGGCCGAAGCTGGGGAATCGACGAGAACCCACGACGAGGAGGAACAAGCTAGGCAGCCAAAGGGCCTGCTAGCGCGTCCCCCAAGACGCATGAAAGAGTCTGCGAAGCACCGCGCGCCGGAACTACCACGCGCACACGCACACACAGACACAGACACAGACGGACACAGACACAGACACGAAGACACAGACACGGACACGGACACAGACACGGACATAGACACAGGGTGCCCAGCGCCGATCCAAGAAATCCGCGCGGAGCTCAGATAATCTATTGTATGCAATGTTGACTTCACCGAGGCGATCCCTCACGCGCTAGAGGGGGGCGCGTGGTGCCAGTCCAACAGTGCGTGAGCAGGCTCGCCCAGCCCGCCAGCTGCAGCCCGTGCTCGTGGACGGTAACGGTGACCAGTGTTGAACGGACGGAGCCCCAGGCAAGCGGAGCAACACGCACCACGACGACGATGCCGACGAGGCGCGCTTACGATCCGGAATGAAGCACAGATTTGGGAACGACCTCCCCTGTGATGATAGGTGCACATCACTTCGATCGGCGGTACTGCTGCAGGAGGGAGGATGAGGTAGGTCGAGGAGCATGCCGCAACATGCCTCCGCCTCCTCCTCCTCCTCTCCACCCTCGCTTTCCCCGTCCGTCCGCTGCCCCTTTCTACTCCTCCCTTCCCCTCTCCCTTCCTCCCCGCCCTCGCCATCGTCATCGTCCCCAGCCTCCTCCCCCTTCTCCCTGCATGACGCCTGCCGAACAGTCCAGCAGAATACGAAACCAGCACCTTTGCAATCGACAGGAGCTCACGCCCAAGATCGGAAGCAGAACGAACAATCGAACGGTGGTGCAGAACAGCAGAAGGAACCATCACACGATCCTGGTTGGATGTCCTGAGCAGGGTGTGTTACATAGTTTCAATGTTCGGACGAAAGCAAAACAAACCCAACCAAAAACGGTCACTCGTATGCAATACATTGCGAGGATGATCGTAACCGGAACTACTCCACAGCCATGCCACATGCTTTAGGTTCCAGCATTGCCTGCGTGAGCAACGATGCGCGAAAACCGAAGTCCTTCGAACTCTAAAACGCTGACGCAGGAAACTGACTCCTGCCAGCAAGCACCGCTGACAAATGAGCTGAGAGCGGCGCTGTAAATTATCACATTCGGCTCTAATTGTGCTTGCCGCACCTGGCTGAACAAAGACAGAGCGTGTTGCCAATTCCCACTTTCTTCGCATGCGCTCATTGCCGCGGGGTAGCTGCCGACATCCAATTCCACACTTGCTTGAGCTTGCTCGCGGAGCGACAGCAAAGCCAACTCCCACTTGCCCGATCTCCCAGATGCGCGCACGACAGAATTATAGCTGCTCGTGTCCGGCTCCTGGCTGTCCTGGATCAGCTCTCTGAATCCGCCACCGTGCTCTGAGGGACGAGTTGGAGTGTCCTCAGGTCCCTTCGAGTTCTCTGTGTTGACTCCTGTATGTGTCATTTAAGGCGCCAGCAGCCCTGAGTTCCTGGCGCTCTGGCGCGCTCTCGGGGGGTCCCCGCGTAACTTTCCGAGAGGCCAGGAGCGCGTTGTTCGGGACACGCATGTCCAGCATGATTTCAATTGGACCCCGGGGACCATCCTGGAGCCCCCTTGGGTGCTTCTTGGACTGTCTAGGAGGCCCTGGAAGGCGGCCCGCCAACATCGTAAAGATCCATTGCGTTACTCACGTTTCGGTCTTGAGAGCGTCCATGACGGCCCAAGCGGCGCCGAAGACCGCCCCCAAACGGCCCAAAAGCCCCTAAGAGGGGCCCAAGAGGGCTCCACGACGGCCCCAAGATGGGGAACACGAGCTGCCATTTTGAGCCCTCCGCCCCAAGATAGCCCCAACATCGCCCACAAGTCCCCGAGCTGCGCCTACGAGGCCCCAGGAGGCCCCCAAGAGGTCAAAATCAGGCCCTAAGAGGCGCCCAAAGCGCCCCAAGACCCCCCCAAAAGGCCTCCAAGAGGCATCCGAGAGGCCCCCCAAGAGATCCTCACAGGCATCCAGGAGGCCTCCGACCTACAAGCTGACCAATATCGCCTCAAAGATGCCTTCAAAACGCTTCTAAGACGGCCAAGATGGCTCCAAGAGAGCCCAAGATGGCCCAATTTGCACCAAAGACGGCTCAAGATGCACCTCAGACGGTCCCACATGACTTCAAGATCCTCCAAGAGGCTTCCAAGGTGGCCCAAGAGGCCTCGCAAGGGTCTTCGAGGAAGGCCCAAATAAGCCAAGTTCCGTGATTTCCCAGAAGGTACGCAACGGATTGTGGCATTTGCTTCTTCTCGGTCTTCCGAAGGACAAAGACAGCCCAAGAGGCTTCCAATATCGCCTCCAGAGCGCCCAAGAGGCCTCCTAGATGGCCCCAGGACGGCCCAAGAGGCCTCCGAGACGGCCCAAAGGCGGCCAACTTGGTCCGAGATGGCCTCCAAGACGGAGCCCAAAACTGCCTGGAGATGCCTCCAAGACAACTTCCCACGGCGTCAGAAGGGCCAGGAACGACCTAACACTGCCGTACAAGCTCCGAAGGCCCCCAAAGGCCCAAACGAGGCCCTGGGAGGCCCCCGGGAGGCCTCACAGAGGCCCCCGAGAAGCTCCCAGGACGTCCCGAGGGTGCCCCGAAAGGCTCCCGAGATGCCTCCCTATCCTGCCTCCTTGCAAACGGAGCTCCTCCCCGTCGCACCCCGAGGCCGCTCGAAGGGGCGGGTCGGGCGTTGCGCAAGGGACGTCCTCGTCGCTCGCGATGCCGGAGCTCGGGATGCGCAGCGGCTCCACGGAGGGAGGGCTGTGGTGGTTTTCAGCTGCAGCTCGCGCCTTAGCGCCGCACACCTCCGTTTTAAGGTTTGCAAGAGATTCGAGGGGCGCCCCAAGAAGGCACAAATCTTCGATTTCCCATAGGGGAACGTACATTTTTAGCATATACGGTTTTTCGGCTTTCCCGGCGTGGACGACGGCCCGAGAGGCCCCCAAGACCGCCCCACGACGGCCTAAGAGGCTCCCAAGAGGCCTCCAAAACGGCCCAAGAGGGCCCCAAGACGGCCCAAGAGGCGCCCAAGACGGCCCGAGAGGGCCCAGATGGAGGGCTGGTCGTGTTCGAAATGTGGCTCTCGCCTCCGCGCCGAACGCGTTCGTTATAAGAAACCTGGAAGGGCTCAACGGATGGAGGGCGGTCTGCTTTCAACATCTGGCTCTCGCCTTTGCGCAGCGTCATTCGTGTTTTTTCTCAAACATCGCAGTGCTTTCACGGATGGGTGGCGGTCCGTTTTCAAACTGTGGCTCTCACCCTAGGGCCGCGCGCACTCGTCTTAAACAGGTGCAAGAGATTCACGGATTGAGGGCGGTTCCGTGTCAAAATGTGGCTCTCGCCTTAGCGCCGTGCACGTTCGTCTAAGAGCTTACAACAATTTCAAGGGTTCCCAAGGTTAACGTACCAATATTGTGTTTGGCACGATGTCGGAATGTCTGGGCGCGCCAATCACGTTGATTCGCGGTGTTGAGCTCGCAAGAACGATGTCCTGGCACTACTCAAGATCGTCAAGACGCAACAGTAAAGGTAAATCGTGGCGTCGAAATCCCAGGAATGGTGTCCTGACAAAATTCCGCGTTTTCAAATGGTTGTCTTCCATCGGGTCAATTCCCTCACTGAAAATGAACCCTTGTAGGGGCCCGTGGAGAGGAAACTTAGAGGGAAGCTTTATTGCAATATCGCTGATGGGTCTTAAGTTTACACTCTTCCTCCTTTTCCTCCTCCTCTTCCTCCTCCGCCCCCTCCCTTTCATGACCCTCCCCTCATCCTTCCCCAAGTGTTCCCGAAGAGCTTACTGAGCGGCTGGGGGAGTGCATAATCTGATAGCTCGGCTAAGCTGGGACCCCACGATGGGCCACAGGGGCGCTTCCCAAAAGGCAGGGTGCGGCGGCGATTCGCCGCAAGCGTGTTTGCTCCACCATCCCGCGATGATTCATCACAGGGTTGCACGGCGTGCCAAATGTCTGAAAGGTTTTTGTTCTGTTCTAAAGAACTAACTCCTGGTGGGGCCTCGCCCCCGAGCTATGACAGCTCCTGGATGGCCTCCAAGACGGCCAAGATGGCCCCGGATGGCCTTGAAGTTCTCCCAGGATGGTCCAAGATGGCGCCCAAGAGAGCCGAGAGGGTCCAAGATGCTTCCAGGCCCACCCAGGAAGCCATCCAGACGGCCCAAGATGTCTCCCAGACGGCCTGTTCGACGCTCCAAGAGGGCTCCGCGAGGAACTCCGGCAAGTCAAAATATTGATGTTCCTTGGGCGGTCGGATGACTTCAGTGCTCCCGCCTCGTCCGGCATTCGGCGCCACAAGACGGGCACACAAGCCCCCCAAAGGTCGCCCCAAGACTCTTCCAGCGCGGCCCCCGGAGGCCCTAAAGATGCCCGCAAGACGGGCCAAGAGGGCCTCAAGATGGCCCAAGGGGGCCCCCAAGCCGGCCCCAGAGACCTCCGAGACGGCCCTAAAGCGCCCAAAGGGGGAGCCACGACTGCCCAGGAAGGGCCAAAGAAGGCTTCTGGAGGCCAAGAGGCCCCTTAGATGCCCCAAGAGGGCTCCAAGAGGATCTCCAGCATGCCAAAGTCATTGATTGTAAACGTTCTGGCCCGTTCGAGCATTCGACGCTCCAGTCCGGGCCCATAGGCCCCTAAAATCGCCCGAAGGCGGCCAAGAGGCCCGCAAGACCAGAGAGGACACCAATGGCCCCAAGACGGCCCAAGAGACCTCCAAGACGACCCTAAAGCGCCCAAATAATGACCCACGACTGCCCAGGGAGGGCCTAAGACGGCCTCTGAAGGCGAAGAGGTCCCTGAGACGCCTCACGGGGGCTCCAAGAGGACCCCAAGGAGACCAAAATCATTGATTCGCCTTGGGTGTTTCAATGGTTTCAGCGCTCTCGCCTTTTTGGGCACCCGACGCCAAAAGACGGCCCACAGGCCCCTCAGATCGCCCCGAGACGGCCAAAGAGGCCCCAAGACAGCCCACGGGGCCCCCAAGACTGCTCCGAGACGGCCCCAGGGACCTCCAAGGCGGCACTGAAGCGGGCCCCAAGACGAGGTTGCGTTGAGGCCCCCAGACATCCCAAAAAGGTACCCCAAAGGCCCCAGGAGAACCCCAAGAGGCCCCAGGAGGCCCCCAAGAGGCCCATTTACATCCTCACAGAAAGAGTCTCGGGAAGCCACCAGGAGGAGGCCTCAAGAGGGCCCCAAGAGGCCGCCTCTTCTTCCTCCTCCCTGTATCCTCCTTCTCCTCCTCCTTTCTGGTCTTCTCCCCGGTGTTCCATTAAGGGGTTCGACAACGGCTGGGGGAACACATAGTCCAATAGCTTGGCCAGACTTCGGCCCACCGTTTGGCCGCATGGGCCCTTCAAAAGGCAGAGGGTGGCGGTGATTCGCCGTAGGCGACGTAGATCCGTCCCCCCTGTGGCTTGCCACAGGGGTCCCAGAGGGCCCCAAGACGGCCCAAGAGGCCCCCAAGACTGACCCAGACACCTCCAAAACGGCCCCCCAAAGGGAGCCACGATTGCCCAGAGAGGGCCCAAGGCGGCATTCGAAGGCCAAGAGGTCCCAGAAAGGCCCCCCGTGGCCCCCTAAGAGGTGCCGAAGAGGCCCCAGGAGACCCCGAAGATGCTCCAGGATGCACCTAAGATGCACCTTACAGCAATTCCAAAGCCTCCCACAAAGCACCCAGGAGGCCCTTTTTGGGCTCACGAGGCCTGCTCGTCTTCCACATCCTCCTTCTCCTTCCTGCTCTTCTCCGTTCTCCTCCTCTCCCCGGTGTTCCACCCAAGGGGTTCCACAACGGCTGGGGGAAGCACATCGTCCAATAGCGTGGCCAGACTTCGGCCAAACGTTTGGTCACATGGGCGTGTTCAAAACGCAGGGGGCGGCGTTGTTTCGCCGTGGGCGCCTTCGATAATGATACGGCCTGCTGCCATTGCCCACACCTCCCACATGCGCTGATGGCGGCGTTGTAGCAATTTGCGATCGGTATCAATTTCGCGTGCCGTGCGTCCCTGAGGAGCGACACGGCCCATTGCCATTCCATGCCCTTGTCGCACGCGCTGATCGCGACCAGATACGTGATTGCGTCAATCTCGACCTTCAAGCGCCACATGTCGCCAAAAAGAAACACAGCCTTCTGCCACAATCCACTTACCTGGCACGCTTTGACAGCAGCGCTGTAGCTGTATGTGTCTGGCTCCATCTGGGCGCGACGCAACCCGTTGAACAGCGATAACGCCTGCTGCCACTGCCCGCCTTTTCCGCACGCGCTGATTGCAGCATTGCAGCTGATGATGTTTGGCTCTAACGTGTATTCCCTCAATTCTCCTAGGAGCGATAACGCCATCTGCCACTGCCAACACTTTTCGCATGCACTGATTGCAGCTGAAAAGCTGATGACGTCTGGCCCCAACCTTTCGTGGCACACTTGACGCAGCAAAAACAATGCGGGCTGCCACTGCAAGCCTTTCTCGCACGCGCTAATTGCAGCGTTGTAGCTCGGGGTGTCTAGATTCAAATCTATGTCTAGGACTTCGTAGAGCAATGACAATGACTGCTGCCACTGCTCCCCCTTGCCGCACGCGCTAACTGCAGCATTGTAGGCAACGATGTCCACCTCCATCATCGCTCGCCCTATTTCGTTAAACACATACAGTGCTTGCTGCCACTCCCCGCCCTCCTCGCACGCGCTGATCACAGCACTGTAGCTGAACAGGGCTGGCCCTGGGCTCCGCCCACGACAGCCAGAGATTCCTGTGTGCGGTTTCTTCTTATAGATGCCAACTGCTTGCCGCTGTTTTCTTCTTGCCGATTGCTTGCTACTGCTTCTTTGCTAATGGCAACTGACTGCTCTCTGTTCGCATGCGGCTGTTTGCTGCTGCGTGCTGCCTCCTGTTGCGACTTGTCGCTGCTGATTCTTGGTTCCGCTAGCTGCTTCTGCTGCTTGTGGTAGTTGCTGGCTTCACGCGGCTGCCGCTACTACTGCTGCTGAAGGCCCCAGGGCGTCTGTGCAATCTCTCTGGGCATTCTGGACCGTCGTTGGGCCTGTAGACTATGACCCAACAAACGTGCTCGCAGAGAGGACGCTTACTGCGCGGCAAACGCCGCACTGCACAACATCAGAGATGATAAGCTCGGCGGGCACAACGCGAAATGGAGAAACATGAGAAACAACGCATCCGAGAGGACACGCTTCTGCGGTGCACGGATGAGCGGGCCGCAGCGGGCGCTGCTGTTTGCGACTGCTCGCTGCTACTTGCTGTTGCTTGCAACCGGTCGCTGCCGCTTGGTGGGCGTCCCTGTAGTCTAGGTTTCGACATTTGACCGATGTGTGAGGGAGGGTGGGAGGTCTGGACCTGGGCCGGTACTAACTCGATCTGGTTTTACCAGTCGCGGAGACGGACTGGGGGGAGGGTCCCGGTCTATGGGGGGGGAGGGGGGGGGGCGCGGAGGCCCGCGCCGATCTGCGAAACAAAACATAAACAACGGCGAATTGCTGCTGCCTGCAGCGGCATGCCGCCATGGAGCGCTACTACTTGGCTGCTAATGCCTGCCGCTGTTTGCCGGCTGTGCCTACTGCTTGCTTCTCTCGCTGCGAAGTGCTGGCTGCTGCTTTCTGCTGCTTGCCGAATGTGTCGTTGCTTGTTGCTAACGCTTGCTGTTGCCGCTTGCTGCCAACTCTGCTACCGCTTGCTGTTGGAGGGCCTCGGTACCCACCGTCGTGCGGCGAGTGAAATCGGGTAACATAGGCGGCCATGTCGTGCGTTGCCACCGGTGTCGGTCGGGAGATTTGAACATTCATGTCCACTTCTCCCCAGGTAGCAACGTGATTCGTTGAAACAATGGGCCCTCCCTGGAACAGTCTTGAGCTGGAATGCGGGGAATACAGAAAGCGCACCAAATTTCAAACGGATCGGACCGGCCGTGCGCTGAGCCATCTTAAGGCCTCGTCGGGCCAACTTGTAGACATCTTGAGGCGTCTGCGGAGAGATTAGGTGCCTATCTGGCCGTCGAGGGCCCACTTGCGGGTTCCACGGGGCCGCGTGCGAGCGCTTTCGGCTTGAGTAAAGGGAAATTAGGACACACAAATAAATACACACAAATAAAAATATTCCCCATATTTTCCCATATTTTCTGGGTTTTTGTCTTCCCCCCCACTTCCCATATTTTTGCATAGTTTCCTGGGAGTCGACGATTAATTGTGTCTGTGTTTTTCTTTTCCCCCTGATTGAGGCCACTCCTGGCCGCAGAGCCCGAAAGCTATCGGACGGTACGGGGAAGGGGGCTGGAGACGCCCACGACCCCGAAACGATCGCGCCGTGAAAACATCACTGCGGCTTTGTTTTGGCTGCTTTCGGCCTCTCGGGGCCCTTACTGGGCCTGCAGGGCCCTCGCCCTCCGTCAAACAAACGCCTCGGGATGCCATGCCGGTCCCATCGAAGGGGCCCAAACCTCCGGGGAGGCACGCCGTGGAACAAGAACCACGACGCCGGATGCCTGAGTGAGGCCACCTGGGAGGGCGAGCCGAAGGCTCTCGCCGCACGACCGTCTCGGGACACCTTGATCAAGGACCCCAACGCACGTGACATCGCATAACGCGACGCGCCATCGAAAACGTTCGACGCGCGGCCTCGGAATGACATCGGGCTTCATGGAACGTCGAATGGAAAACATGAAAAACCGCCCTGTGGGCTCCGAGACCCAAAATTACTGATGTGAAGGATTTCGGCTCGTCGACTTGAGACTGACCGTGGCGACGCCACGCTGTTCCTTTTCCGCCGCCTTCCGCTTGCCCTCCGCCGGCGGACCCGCCGCCGTTCTGCTGCTCGGCTGCCACCGCCTTCCGCGGGCCTGCCTCCGGCTGCCGCCGGAGGCGAGGATGCGCGCGAAGGCGATGCCCTCTCATTTCTGTAACGCACCCGGTGCTTCTCTCTTGCGCGCGCGGCTGCGCCCAACAGGCGTTTCGGAAGACATCTGGCTCCAAGCTCATCCGCAGCGAGCCGGCCAACATCGACAGGGCACGCGCCCACTGCCCGCCCCTGCCGCACGCGCCGACCGCGGCGCTGCAGCTCACGGCGTCGGGCTCCAGCTTCGCGCCTCGCACCTCGCTGAAAAGCGACAGCGCCTCCTCCCACTGCCCCTCCTTCTCGCAGGCGCTGGTCGCAGCATTGTAACTGACCAGGGCTGACCCACGGAGCTTGCGTCAACGAGAGGGCGCAGTCGGCGACGTCTCCCGGTTTTTTGCCACCGCTCGCTGCCGCCTTCTGCCCCTCGCTGGCGCGACCTGCTGCTTGCTGCTTGCTTCGTGCTGCGCGCTGCCTGCTTGGGGTCAACTCGGAGCCTTCTTGGGGCCTTCTTTGGCCCTTGGGCTCCCTGGAGGCCCTCCCGAGCCTCCTGGGGCCATCTGGGGGCCCCCTGGAGCTTCTGGGTGCTGTTGTGGGTCGGGTCCGTGGGCGTTCCTGGTGGAAACCCATCTTGGGGCGGTGTTCGACGATCTTAGAATCGTTTGGGGCCATCTTGGAGAGCGTCCGTGCCGATCGTGGGTCATCTTGGGAGCCTCCCAGGGCTCATTCGAGATTTTCTGGGCCTTTTGCGAAGCGATGTGGAGCTGAACAATTGAGGGCGGTGGACATTCTAAACAACCCAAGCGAATTTCCAATACGGTTTGGCCTGTCGGGGGCCCTCGGCGGGGCCACAAGAGAGCGTGTCGAGGCCATCTGGAACTTTCAAGAATGCTCCGAGAAGCGCAGAGAGTGTCCTTTGGGCTCCGAAGGCCCCTCGGGGGGCCCAAGGCCTACAACGGTGCATAGGCCTTTTCTGCATTGTACCAGGAAGCTGGACGGCCATAGAAAGGGCGAGCGCCGGAAAGACATGAGACCACGCGTGCATCTAGCTAGCCCTTCCACCAGCCAAGCTGGCCGCGTCGTGTGTATCTATATCAAGGTCCCTGGTAGAAGTGGCATGCGGGAACCCACGGATTACCAACCTCATTAGACTTCGTGGTAAGGTCTTCTGCTTCTGCGGAAGATCGAGGTGACAAATGTGATAAGCCGCGGGCACAACCGCTGGCCGAAAGAACACTTGCACAAGGGCACGCTACAGGATCAGACTGGCGAGTTTGCCACGGATGCGTCGCGCCGACCGAGCGGATAGGTGGTGCGCAGTGCAAGGGGCGCGAGAGACATTGTCCAGGGAGCTCAAAGCACAGACGACGCGGACTCTAGCGCACAGCAGGGGAAACGGTGCTCCCGCGTGAACATTTTCTTCACCGTTGACCCCGCAGGGTGTACAATCGGGACGCGTGATTCTCCGATGTTCTATTCCCTGAGGTAACAGGAAGCATCGTGCATATCTTGGATCAACGTGCGGTGACACTCTGTCCGAGGAAAGGGCAATGGGGCCCAGCGAATGCGAACAAAGACTGATCTACAACACTTACGCGTAACCGCGAACGTAGTTTGGCGAAGCGCCCAACCCTAATCAACAGCGTGTAGCGCAGGGCGTCGACCCTCCCAGGATTGATGGGGTTCGGGCGATGCGGATAATACAAAGGTTGAGGGACGCTGGTCTCCCAATGGGCGCACAGCGCGTGTGAAGTATGTGGCGGGATTGGCGGGGACGCGTGCGGGCCACACGCTGGGGCCGTAGGTTTAAGTGGGACTCACTTCGCGGGCAAGAAACGTGCGAGGAGTGTGCCAGCATTGGCGGACGGACGCATCATGGCCCCTCACTGGGTCAGTGGGTGGGACCCCCTTTGTGGGGCTACAGAACGTGTGTGATGGTTGTGCCGAAGTGGGCGCGTCGCCGCCATGCGAACGCCCCCGCTGGGGCCGACGGCGAGGCCTCATATGCGGCCACGGATCGTGTGAGAGAGGCGTGCCCCCAAAAAACAAACGCGTCGTCGCCATGCGAACGCCTCACTGGGGCTGTCGGTGGAGCTACCTATACGGCTACGGGGCGTGTGTGGAGTGTGTGTATATGTGTGAGGAACAACAGGGGAGGAGGAAAAGGAGGAGGAGGAGGAGAAGGACGAGGAACTCTACCAACCATGCTGGGGCCGCACCGAGGGTGTTAGCTGCTCGGCAGGGCGCACAGAGCCGTGCCCCGCGCACCCCTGAGCAGGCTGCGAGGTGGAGTATCCAATGGGGCCACGGGGCGTGTGAGAGAGGGTTGCCTCCCAAATGGGCGCGTCGCCGCCATGCGAACGCCCATGCGAACGCCCCTGATGGGTTCGTGGGTTGACCTTCCTTATGGAGCCACGGGAAGTGTGGTGTGTGTGTGTGTGTGTGCGTGCGTGAATGCCGAGATGGGGGGAGAAAGGAAATTCAATGTAATGGTGATGATGATGATGAGGAGGAGGAGGAGGAGGAGGAGGAGAAGGAGGAGGAATAATATCCGACTGGATTCCAAATCGTTAAGGACCAGCTCATCACTTGTTCACATCTGCTAAAAAAAAACAGAGCAGTTGTCGAGACTCCCTTCACGAGCACATTTCGGACACGAGAGGAGCACACTTCGGACATTTCGGACACGAGAGGAGCACACGCATTTCGGACACGAGAGGAGGAAGCAACGGCAAGGCACACCGTCCCAGGCTAAAAGAACCATTTTCCTATGCGGCAAGACTGCCATCTCTCTCTAATGTCAGTCGTGGCCCTGCGGCGGCCACATCGCCGCTAGTCCGCGGGGAACGACGCGGCGTGGAGGTCCACGCGTCGACCCAGCTGGAACTAGCAGCACTTCAATATTTCGGCCCCTTCCCCCGCCCATCACGACGACCTCCTCTCCCCCCCACCCCTTTCCTCTTTATGTAGAGCCACCAAATTGGCGACAGGCCTGTGACTCAACTATCTGGCCACATGCTCGCGGAAGCGGGAGCTCGTGGCAGAAGCCCCAGGGATGAAAACTTGCGATCCAGCGCCGCGGCGATCTGCCGCCCCAGAGGATCTTCCGGACAAGATCCCACCAGCAACACTGTTGCCATTGCCAGGTCCATCATCGCGTTCACTGCCTCCGCCTCTGGATTCGGACCGAGCGCCAACGTCAACTCGTCATTGCCCTGCATCCTCTCGCTACTGGGGCCGCGAGGGACCCGAACCGTCAACTTCCGAACCGGGCATGCCATGAGCAGCGGCGTCTAATCCTTGAGGCACTTCTGAAAGAATGCGGCGGCTGCCAACTGCACCTGTAGGGAACCTTTCCTTCATCGTCGCCCTCGCCGCCAGGAAGAACGCTGTGATGAATGGAAGCTCTGAACTCGATAAGTCGACCTCCTCTCCCTCCTTCTTGCGATCGCGAATATTCTTCACATTGTCGGCGTTGAACTTGCTTGCTGCGAGGCCGCTCTTGGCCGGGTGCGTTTCGCTCGGCCCCGGGGAGGTCGACAGCGCGATCGACGAGAGAACTGCTTGCTCGCGAGCCGTGGCCCGGGTGAGCGCCGCCGATTTGTGCAGGAGCGATGTTTCTCCTCCCCCTCCTTTTCCGTTGCCCTTGGCCCCCCTGGGTTGTGGTTGAGATCCTGCACCGCGCGCCGCCGCCGTCGAGCGCTCTGGCGCGATGACCGCGCCCCCCCACGGAGGAAGCTACCTATATAACCGCCCTGCGGGCGATAAGGGGGTCGTGGGGGGTGGGGGGAGGGGGGTGGCTCATGGCGACGACTGTGATGAACGTGGTGCTGATAGGCGACGATGGCGTGGATGACGCGGCGGGTTTGTTTGTTCCGTCGCTTGGGCGACTTGTGTCGCTCGGTTTGCCGCTGCGCGACGCGGCGCTCAGCCCGCGACGCCCCAGTCGACGATGGGTGCACTGGCAGCGCCTGGTGCGTCCGCCTTCTCCATGTCACCCACGCGGCCCCCCGTCTCGTGGATAGCCCGGCCGCAGAAATGCGCGAGGAGGGCGCCCTGGGGGTAGCGCGACCGCGGTGGGCGCCTCGAGCTGGAGGAGGAGGACGCAAGCAGGGGAAGTGGAAGGACGGCGTGGCCAAGAAATGACGGCATTGATTTGTCCTCTGACGACTCAGTGGCCCAAGAACGGCGCCCCCCGGCCCATGATGCCACATGGGGGTGGCCCCATCCTCTGAGGGGGGGGGGGGGAGGGGGGCGATGAATGGCAATCGAGCCTTCGTCCTAGCAAAAAGGACGAGCTGACCGACTTGCGTCGCATGGCCTGAGCCCTTGAGCCGAACTAAAGATATAAGGAATTAAGTTAGAAAAGCAAAAAGCCAAACAAAAACAAAAACAACAAAAGAAGGATGCGAGGAGGAGAAGCAAGAGAAGGTATCCCATGATGAGCAACCATGATGGTGTCCCATGATGAGCAACCATGATGAGCAATCGGCGGGGCAATGATGAGCAACCATGATGAGCAACCACGATGGCCAACCATGGTTGGCAACCAGCGGGACAATGATGAGCAACCGTGATGAGCAAACGGCGGGACAATGATGAGCAACCATGATGAGCAACCATGATGAGCAACCATGATGAGCAACCGACGGGACAATGATGAGCAACCATGATGAGGAACCGGCGGGATAATGATGAGCAGCCATGATGAGCAACCATGATGAGCAACCATGATGAGCAACCGGCGGGATAATGATGAGCAACCATGATGAGCAACCATGATGAGCAACCGTGATGAGCAACCGGCGGGACAATGATGAGCAACCATGATGAGCCACCGGCGGGACAATGATGAGCAACCATGAAGAGCAACCATGATGAGCAACCACGATGAGCAACCGGCGGGCAACCGACGGGGCAACGTGGGCTACCGCTTGACAAGGCCGGGGGGGGGGGGGGTTGGGGGGCATTTGTGTTGGCGGACCCCTAGCGACGGCAGAGTGAATTCCTCTGGCTGGCCCACGCAGCTTCGCCTCGCCCGCGCGCGCGGCACGAGCGCGAACTCGAAACTCGATTTCCCGGTGGGGGGGCTCCGTTGCACTGCGATCTCACCCCCCAACCTCCGATTCTTCCCCAAACATCTCGGCGTCCAGCTCAGGACGCGGCGGCATTCTAAAGGTGAGTGAAGGCGTGCCGACTGCACTCCACGAGCTTCAAGAACGGTGAGCCACAAACTCTACATTGAGACCTGGAGCTCATTGAGGGTAGACGCTGTGTTTCGTAGACATGGTCCGCGTTGAAGGGCCCCTTCAAGGTGCATGCAAGCCGCG